AATTTTCGTGCGTATTCATCATTGTGTGTTCATCTTAGTGTTATCCAAAATAAAGAAGGGAGCCGGCAGATAGAAACAACTCGTGGGGTAATCAGTGTGAACAGTGGAAGTGCGTCACACAGGCTGGCCGACGTTTTGATAGAAGGACCAATTTTTGTCAAAGGCAACTTGTCATCCTGTGCGTGTTATTTTCGAGGGGGTTAGTAGTGATGTCAATTTTTGGTGGGGTTTTCTTGACTGTTGGTAATCTTTGTCTGAAATAAAAGAAATCCATAAAGCAAAAGAGTGCAGCTCTCGCTTTTTTTCAAGTTAGGTTGCGATGATACACGGTGTTTTCCTGTCGGAGGTTGGGGGCAAGGAAAGCAAAAAAGGGTGAAAAGGAAAAGAAAAAAGAGGAAAACGGGGAGGCAAAGTAAGATAAGTGTGCTACACCGCTTCTTTCCTTTGTTCTTGTCTGTAGTGGCCACCGCTTTGTAGCACAGTGCTTTTACTTTGCATCTCCACTTTTCTATTTTTTTCTTATCTTTTTCCACCTTTTTTACACCTAGATTCTTCCATCTAGTGCATGGATCAATGACAGATGCCTTTGTTATACCAAAATACCAATGTCGTGTTGGAATGAACAGTGCATTGAAATTCATTCAGTTTGATTACAGGCGAATCATTCTTGCAATATGTGCTCCTGTCTATGACAGCACACGATCAAATGAAAAGTTTGCGCATGGCTCTTAGTTTACTAATACTTAGATTGTGTCTTAGACTACTCAAAGCAATGCTGATTTGCGGCTGTTTATGGTGATGAATTTATCAATATGAAAATATCTTACCTTGTGAACTTCGTCAAACCTGCATTTTTTTCCTATGCAGACATTGTATCTAAGGATAGCAGTAACAGAAAGGTGAAAGTTTGAGCTTTGGGAGAATACATAAAGGCAGTGAGTTAATTCAACAGAAAACATCTCAGCTATTTTGCCGATCATTTTAAATGTATTTAAAAATATTGTGCTCATTTACTGTATTGAAAATAGTGAATTGCTCAAATATGATAGAGAGAACATAACTTTAGGTCACCTGGGTGCCTTCTGGACTTCGCAAGTTACCGTCTGGGTGTTGTTTATAAAAAATATATTTTTAAAATACCGCCTCTTTTTTGTTTACCAAATTTGGTCTAGATATTAGGTAAATGTGCCTGTGTTTAGTGCTTGAAGCTCAGCAATATTAGCGCATTTTTGCCACACCGAAAGAAAAAAAATGTCCCCTTTATATGGCAAGTTATGTCATTACAGTTTTGTTTTAAGAAAGAAGGTAACTTTCGAAATTTACTGTTGATGCTGTTTTGCCATTTAGTATATGGCGGTTCCGTGGCGAAGTTCCCCATGACTATCAATAGGGAACTTAATAATTCTTTGCTTTTCTGAAAGGAAAAGTCCATTGATAGAGCTTGCTAGTAACAAGAAGTGCTTATTTTCTTTCAACTTGCCTAGAAAAGTAATTTTTATTGCCCCAGCACATGGTGCAAATTGCATCTCAATATGGACCAAAATGACGTTATAGCAAAATATGTGATTTTTTTCTGGTAAACTTCAGCTACCTGAGGGCCCAAGAATATATTTGTCGATAAATATATCTTCTGTGAAGTAAGTTTTCATTGCTCAGATATCCATACAAAGTGCAGTCTTGCCTTATACAATATTGCGAACCGTAAACATTTTGGCTCAGTTTTGGAAGCCTATGTGGCAGACGAATTGCACTAATACTATTTGGCTCGAAATGCCTTACACAAGCACCTTTACCTGATAAGTAAACCAAGTTCAATATGACAAGAAACAGTTATACTTTTAAACATTTCTCGCTAACAACACCCAGATGACATTCTGCGAAGTTCAAAAGGCACCATTGGGACCAAAATTTTTTCTCTGAAATATTTTAGCGATTGGCTGTTCTCAATAGAGTAAATGAGCACTATTTTTTAACGAATAATAGTTTCATAATCGCCAGCAAAATAGTTTCGATGGTTAGTCTCGTATGACCCCGTCATGAAAACGACAAATGCCTGAACGCACTTTCATTTCCAGGTAATTTCGAAAGCATTTCGTTGTTAGCAGCAATTGAATGAAACCCTCATTTCTAAGCTTAGGCTTAGAAACAAAGCAGAAGCAATCAATGTAGTCTTCAAATTCATCCAGCTTTGCTGTTTGACGGCTTGCGGAGCCTAGTTCAGTGCGAGCTTCACCAATTTTTCGATTGAGATTCGACCAACAGGTTTTGGGAGCAAAGTGTATTTTCAGCTAAATTACTCCAGTTACCTCAATAAGAGCCGTTAAGTAGGGGCACAAATACCATTACAAAACATTGTAGGTAATAACAAAGGAATGCATCTTTTTTTTAACTTTTTGTGGAGCTTTGCTTGAATGCTGTGCTTTTTGTGGTAGAGCTCATTAGTCTGGTGAACATACGCCTTAAAAGGTAACATTGGCTTTGTTGAGTCCAAATTTTCGGTTATTATTATGGTAGCCTTTGTAAAAATTGTGACTTCAAAACTTAATTGTTCTCTTGAAGATTTAATCCTGCATAATGATACTCCACTCTCAGTCAATTTTGCTATGAAAAAAGGTGATGCCGAGATCTGCTACTTTTTATAGAGTCATTCAGTTTAGTGCATCTTTTACAATCTCAGTAGAATAGTAAGTTCAAATATCAGCATTGAAATTGTTATGAGCACGCTCTGTGTACTAAGACGTAAGCACTTACAGATAGCGCATACACCTAAATCTTGTGTTGGCAGTTCATTTCTGTTGCTTTTGCTCCCCTGTTTCTTTGTGGGTGGGCTATAGTAGTCTGGCTTGCGCAAATTTTTAATTGCAGCTGAAACGTCCTGGTTGCTTGCATGGTAATATTTTTTGCCTTCATAAGTTGCACAGTTTCACGTCACAAAATTTTTGAAAGTGCCAATATTGCACATAAACAGTAAAGTTTTGATTGTTATGTGGGGTTTAACGTCCCAAAACAAACTGAAAAATTAGGTAGCAAATGTACATGTACGCACTAATAAATGTACTGTGTAATTTTTCATGAAAGGGAACATGAGAACGCGTGGCCCGAGCGCTCTGGTGGCTGCTCGTAGTGCGTTCAAGCGGGATCGGGAACATCCACAGCTTCTACTTTCGTCATCTAGTGGCGAGAAAAACAACCGGTCATTCGTAATATGAAATCTGCGACAAGACAGCAACTGCCTCCCCTTCAAGGCAATCACATGAGAGGCGGGCGTAACTGCCTTGAAGGGGAAAAGGCTGCAATCTTGTCCCCAGTTCTACATCACCAATTACTGGTTGTTTTGTTTGACACTAGATGACGGGAATAGAGGCTGTGGTTGCTATCCCTCCCAATTATCGCGCTTCAAAAAGCCGCCCAAGCGCTCGGGCCATGCATTCGCCTGTTCCCTTTCGTAAAAATTGACATTGTACATTGAGGGATTTTACTGGCAGTTTCTAAAATGTTATTTTGAGGGAAGAATTTATTTTACGATTTTATAGTGATATTTCACTTCATTTACTGTACTCTTGTAAGTCATAAGAACAACCTAGTTATTTTCTTTGTGAGAAGCATGCTGTTTTCTTGCATGTAGCAGAGGTCATTTGCACAGTTGTTCTTTCAAGATTCACATATGCATAACATGAAACATTTCGTGCATTACCTTTTCAGCTTCATTTTGTGTACTATATTTCTTGCACAAGTGAACTGAGGTGCATACCAGTGTGTCTGACATCAGTTGTGCCAATCATTTACATTTTCAGTGCCCCTGAAGGACTCATCAAAGTGCATGTAGTGATCTGCTGTATCCACAGTGGTGTCAGAACCTCAAGCACCATTTGGACAATCTCCACAAGGCACTCAAGAGATAAACACCACATCACACTTTCACAATGCCATGGTTAGTGTTTAAGTATAAAGTTGTCATTGTAAGATTGCTGTTGTTGCATTTTGTTTTGTGCCCCTAATCTGTGACTGTGGCACAAGTCATAAAATTTTGGCAGAAGGTCACGTCGTTTGTGTACCATCAACACTGAGATGTGGCTATTCACAGCCGGAGCTTACAGACAAATGAAAAGATTAATTGTAGAAGGGCTGATTTCAATGTGCATATCAAACTTGGTAAGTTTTCTTTGTATTTTGCATAAAACACTGCGTTGTTTGGCTGCAATGTAACCACGACATATAATTCCTAGCATGTTATTTCAATAGTGTCTTGACATATTTTCTCTAAAAGCTTATTTTGCTCACGCAACATGACTTTGCGAAAAATAAAAATATTTCATTCCCTCATCATGCATCTTTAAAAGACATTGGGAGGATTTTCGCACAGTATTGCATGAACACAAGAGGTGAACATCCATTCAATCTACACATAATATTACCTTCCACCAGACTCAGACGTCAATTTCATTCCGCACTATTAATACAGCTTTCCTTATGTCCGGTCATTTCCGCATCTTATGGCTTTCCTTATAAGCGGACTACTCCGCATTATTCGGCTTTCCTTATATGCAGATTGTCGCATGGTATTTCCGCATATACTGCTTCCGTATTTTAATAGTTCTATATGTGCAGATATGTGCGTTTGTATGGAACGTTTCAGTGGGGACATGCGACTGTTGAATATATATCTCTGTGAGTAGACCATTTTACAAATCTGTTGTTATTTCGTAGCGTTTCGCTCAATAAAGAAATTACGGTTCCTGCGCATGTTTCTCATAGCGATCATTTCCAAGCTGCGTAGGATTTGCCAATTTTTTTTGTTATCTCAGCCAGAGCAGTTCTGCCATGATGTAACAATGGAGTTATGGTTGTGTAAATAATGATCTCCATTGATAATGTTTTACCCCACATACGGCAACCGCAGTACAAACATTCATAACACAGTTCAATTTTCCAGTGTTGCATCACAGAGGAAACAAAAAGTATAAGCAAAAGGAACCCAAAGAAAGTTTATTGGGATAAATGTGGTGTGTTCAGCGTGGCAAGAAGCGGAGCCTCACACCCGCTACCTTACTGGGAAACACGTCAGCGCCGTTGATGTCTGGCTGGACACCTTCCTCGTGCAAGATGTGGTACTTCTGCAGCAGTGACGTTAAATACAGAAACACCACTGCCTGCGCCAAGGGTTCGCCGGGACACATGCGTTTGCCTGCTCGACAAAGACCGAAAGGCAGCGTTGTCAGTAATCCCGAATTGATCACTGTGACAACTAATTCGTTCCAAGATTGAGAGTATCACATTTTGTTTTGCTTCCTATGTCTTATGCTATAGCTATGGCTACTGGAACACGCACATTCACGCATTAAATATTATATATATATATATATATATATATATATATATATATATATATATATATATATATATATATAAATATATATATATATATATATATATATATATATATATATATATATATATATATATATATATATATATTTGAAAATAGACCAATCTTCATCAGACAAAATTTCATAGGCTCCGATGCACTTTTATGTCATCGTCCAGCCGAGAGAGAGAGCTAGAGAAAAAAAGAAAAATTGCACACACAAACCAGTGGCCAAACAATCCTTGATATGCTGATAATTGGTGCATATAATAAGTGTTCAAACGACCACGTGTGCTTGTGTGTACTTTACATACGCCTCGCACGTGTATATTGTGCAAAAAAGTGCACACATAAACGACTGGCCAAAGAACTCGTGATATACCGATAATAGGTCCGTAATAATAAGTGGTCAAAGAACAACATGGGCGTGTGCGTACTTCCATATATGCATAGCACGTGTACTTTGTGCTCAAAAAGTGCACACCTGCCCCGCAGCGGTGGTCTAGTGGCTAAGGTACTCGGCTGCTAAGCCGCAGGTCGCGGGTTCGATTCCCGGCGGCGGCGGCTGCAATTCCGATGGAGGCGGAAATGTTGGAGGCCCGTGTGCACAGATTTTAATGCAAATTTCCGGAGCCCTCCACTACGGCGTCTCTCATAATAAAATGGTGGTTTTGGGACGTTAAACCCCACAAATCAAAAAGTGCACACCTGAATGAGTGGCTAAACAAACCATGACATACTGCTAATTGGTCTATACTAATAAGTTGTCGAACAACAACATGTTCATGTGCGTACTTTCATGTACTCATAGCACGTGTACTTTGTGCAGTGAAAAGTTCACACATATACGAGTGACCAAACAATCCAAGATATATATAGAATCAAGCCAAGTTTTTAGGTCGAGGTGGCTAAATTAGGTCATTTCAGTGATACAGCGCGAAGTTTCAGTCCTCAGGCTCACCCCCCCAGTTGAAAATCCCACCAGAGTATGGCTGGTGTGTTCTAGTGTGTTCTGGTGGATACACCAGAACACACTGGTGTATTCTTTAGCTTGGTGTGCAGGTTCTGGTGGGAACAATAACCCACTCTGGTGTGTCCAGTTGGAATGTGATCTGGTTGGATGTGTTCTGGTGTGAATGTGGACCCAGTGTGGTGTGTCCTCGTGGGGATGCTGACACAGACTGGTGTGTTCTGGTGGAACATGTTCTAGCGGAATGTGCTCTGGTGGGAAGACCACAGCAGTGTTGTGTGTTCAGGTTGGATGTGTTTTCGTGGACTCAAGAAATATATTTTTTTCTTGCGGCTTAGACAAAGAGTTTTTTCAACCGAGTGCACTTGAACTCACACTTCTTAACATTTTCCTCAACCAGACTCACTTTTACTAAAGCTCACAAAAATATTACTCAGCCGGTCGATCTCAGACTCTTAGCTCAATCATTTCTAGTGAGTTGACTCACTAGTATGTTAACCTATTATTACTTTTTCTAAACATGGTGTCAATGCTCTTTAGTTTTCTTGGCATTTATTTCTAACACTCACAATTAACGATAAAACCAGGAAACACGTATACGAAAATTTGGTTTCATTTCGAACTTTTTGTCCCTGGAGAGTACACTAGGCCCTTGACAAACAAATACCAAAGTCATCTTGGCCCACGCAACTTATTGAAGCACTGCCGCATTATGGCAAGTATATTGTCATGTTTCTTGCCGTACTATTTTAATGTACTGCTGAAAACCTGGTGAGACCGTAAAGTACTCCCATTTGACTATGCATAACATTTCAGAGTTTTTCAGAGGCTACAATGGCTACATTATCGCCTCATTGCTTCATTCGGTGGTTTCACCACTCACCGCGTCATGGGGCATGCGACACAGGAGAAGCAAACCCCACTGCAACTGCATTTACAATTGAAAGTCAACCTTGTGCGTGGGTGTTCAAATCTATTGTGCTGTTCAGACTTAACAGAGGAGGGGCTGGCATTTCATTGTAAATATAGAAGCGATGGCTCGATTGGAATCGTTCGCAGATATAAAAAGTGAATCAAAGCCATGGACTTAAAGAAGCCGTCGACTTCAGAACGAAACCGAAAAGAAGCAGCGAGCTAAGGACAAAGAGGAAGAATGAGCCACATGCTTCGAAAAGCATAGCCGGGCAGAGAACCAATTTGAAAACGACAGATTTACTGGGCATACGCAGCAGCTCTGCGGATGCAGCCTGCCAGCCATTTTCTATGGCAGGCTGTGTTCGCAAAGCAACGGCGGATGCTAGCTCAATTTCTTCAATAAAAATAACTTTACCACTCGCTACACACACCCAGCTCTACAGAAACGTTTCGTATGTATGGTTTCTGCACATACGCCATTATTTGACTATGGAAAGCCGTATGAGACGGAAAAGTCGACAGATAAGGAAAGCCAAGGATGCGGAAAGGTCTGCACATAAGAAAGCCACATGATGCGGAAAGGCGCGCAGATAAGGAAACCAGCATGATGCGGAAAGCTCCACAGAGAGGGAAAGCCGTATTAATTATGCTGAAATAAAATGACCGTCTAAATCTGGTACAAAGCAATATTATGTGCAAATAGAATGGACGTCCACACCTTGTGTACATGCAATATTCTATACAAATCACAATATCTCTTACGATGCAAGATGAGAGAATATATGATCGGTATCTTTCCGATTGTCATGATGTGGAAGCAAAATTAGCTTTTAATAAAAAATGTGAATTGAAATGACCGAAATGACCGTCTAAATCTCGTACAAAGCAATATAATGTGCAAATAGAATAGACATCCACACCTTTTGTACATGCAATACTCTATACAAATCACAATATCTCTTACAATGCATGATGAGAGAATGAATGATCGGTATCTTTCCGATTGTCGTGGTGTGTAAGCAAAATTAGCTTTAATTAAAATAGGTCACAAGTGTACTAAATTAGCAAGCGAGTGATCATAAATGGTGGTTACAATGCAACAAAATAATGCAGTGTTCTATGCAAGACAGCAAAAAACCTATAAAGTTAAGAATTGCATTAGAAGATTATTAAAATGCGCATCAACCCTGCTACAATGAATATGTTTTATTTGTCGGAATTCTCCAGCCGTGAATAGCCACTTTGTGTGTTGGTGCTTCGCAAATTAGTTGACTGCACCGTCATTTCACGAGCTCCACCTAAGCCACAGGGTGGTGGCACAAATCACAATGTAACCGCAATTTTTGAACGAAATTTTTAAACATATATAATAATCATACAACTGTGAAAGTGTGGAGCTTTTTATCTTTTGAACACCTTGTAGAGATCGGCGAAATGCTATTTGAGGCTCCGGCATCACTGTGCATACGGAAGATCACTGCCATAGACCTTGATGTGTCCTTCATAGGCACCTGAAAATGTAAATGATTGACACAAATGATCAGGCACACATTTAAGCAGCTTAGTTCACATGCACAAAGAAGTTAACGCACAAAATAAAACTGGAATTGAAAGGCACACAATCCTTCATGTTATGCATATGTGAATATTATAAGAAAGAAATCTACAAATTAGTTCTGCCATATGCATGAAAACAGCATGCTTATCACAGTGAAAATAACTAGGTTGTTCTCACAATTTTTGATGGTAGAAATAATCCATTGAAACTTCATAATGAAATTATGAAATTATGATTTAATTGCTTCCTGCACACTAAATTTTAGGAGCTGCCAGTAAAATCCCTCAATGTACATTTAATAGCGCGCACATGTACATTTGCTGCCTTTAAATTATACAGTTTAATTTGGGACGTTCAACCCCACATATCTATCAAGTTATACAGCTTGAGTGCAAATTTGCATATTGAACAAGTTTTTAACGTGAAACTATGCAACTTATAAAGGTTAAAAATCACCATGAAAGCAAGCAGCATCAGGCAGCTGCCATTACAAATCTGTGTAAGCCAGACTACTATAGCCCACCTGTACAGAAATAGGAGAGCAAGAGTAACAGAATTTCGGCTGCTGACCCGCAGGTCGTGGGATCAAATCCCGGCTGAAGCAGCTGCATTTTAGATGGAGGCGGATTTACTGTAGGACCGTGTGCTCAGATTTGGTGCACGTAAAGAACCTCAGGTGTTCGAAGTTTCCGGATCCTTCCAGTACGGCGTCTCTCATACTCACATCGCGGTTTCGGATCGTTTAACCCCACACATCAATCAAGAATAACAGAAATGAACTGCCAACAGAAGGGTTGGGTGCACGTGCTATCTGTATTTGGTTGCACCTTAGTACATACAGCATGCCCATTTCATTTTAAATACCGATAATAAAATAACTGTTGTATTAAGAATGTAAGAGGTGCGGTGAAACTGAACGACACCATAAAAAGTGACCTTATGAGATTACGTTTTGTCATAAAAAATTTGACTAAGACTCTAAATACCATTATGCAAGAGAAAATCTTCAAGAGAACAATCAAGTTTGAAGTCATCATTTTTAATATGGCTACCGTGATTATAACCGAAGAATCGGGTTCAACATGACTAATGTTAGTTTTTAAGGCCTATGTTCACCAGACAATGAACTATGTCATAAAAAAGCACAGCATTCAGGTAAACCACCAGAAAAAAGGAAAGCAGACCTTTTTGTTATTAACTACAATGCCTTTGTATAGGTATTTTTACCTCTACTGGCCGCTTTTTATTTAGGTGACTTCTGTGAAACGATTTACCTGAAAATGCACTGTGCCTTCAAAACTTCTTGGTCGAATCTGAATTCAAAAGAAATGGTGAAGCTTGCGCTAAAGTAGGCTGCACAAGCCTTGGAAGAGCAAA